ATCGTCCGGCTATTGAACCCAGACCTCCCTCGTTGGCAGGTGACGATCTTACCAATGAACCACCAACCCACCAAACATCATGTATCTCTATGAAATCATAGTCAATATAAGCTAATTAATTGCTCAAACCTATCAAAGGACATTTGAAAACCTAATCACTCAGCTGTCTGAAATACTCAGAGAATCAGCTAACAAATGGCGATAGGAGTATTATTTTACTTTAGTAACGGAAATAGTTGTCTGATTCTATGCATATTTAGTATTAGTTAAATATTTTTGAGTATTGAATAGATTCAAACAAAACCATATTTATTATTAAAAAGGAAATAATATTAAAAAATCTATAATTTAATTTTAGTATTTCTTTAAAATGCTTAATTACACTTTTTGTAAAACCAGAAAGTAAGCAATAAAAAACAGCAATTAGAGTAAATTCATTTTCGGACTGTATCGTATGTTTTTTAATTTACAGACACCTGTTTAATTTGTTTATTATTATTATTATGACTCTTATTATTTTGCACTACCCTATACACGTAGCCATGAAAGAATAGATAGATTAGATAGATAGATAGATGAACAGACAGACAGGCAACAGATGGACATACATGTAATGGTTAACTAATACAAAATAAGTTTACCTTTACGAATTAAGAAGATTTCAAGTTATATTTTTCCTATTATCGACTGACATTAGCTGAAAAACTGATGGAATGCGTTAAACAGATCACGGTTACGGCGTACAGCATCAGGCCTATGTGTGTTTGAATTCCTAGAAAGGTGAAGTTAAACTATTACAGCCAAAGTCAAAGTCTGTAAAAATTTGATCTTCAAGAGACAATCAGATTTAGAGAACGCTGCAAAAGGTCATTCTAAGTCAAATCCTGCCTACCTTTATAGATTTCGTGAGGGTAGGTACAGTACTCCACTTATTCCCTGGGTACTTTTTTCTGTAAATCGACAGTGTTAGGTAGGTTTTAGGGTTAGATTGAACAACAGTGTCAGGAATATCAATGGATCCCGAAGGACTATAATCTAGTCACCTCGAATAATATATCCATCGCGCTTGATATGATTTCTCTATGGATTATCCTTGGAGCAACTGGGAGACATTCTTACAATACATAAAAGACAATTACACGGTGTAATATGGTTTAACACATTTTTCCGACGGTTATGCGACTATTTGGATTTGAATTCTGATTGGTTATTCAAGGTCAATGTGTGGTTGGCTATGAAAGTTCAACTCCGCCCCTAGAAGTACAACACAGTTCATTTCAAAAGTTAGAATTCATCACTTTCGTTTGTGTTAGTCAACCGTACCAGTGATAAAATTAGTGACTGATAGGAACTAACCTCTTAAGCAAAACTTATATTAAATTGGGAAAGTAGTGTGATTCGAAATTAGAGTATTGCAATCATTTGAAAAAGAAGCTCTGAATGCTTATTTCACTAATTTTAAGGAGTGGCCAACAAGAGGTATCCTCTATCTTAAGAAAATACTGATGGATTAACAGCTGTTGGACACCAGATGCTAAGAACTTTGTAGAAGATATCAAAATATTGTTCGGAATAAAAAATTTATTATTAAGTTTATCAGATCAACCCATGTATTTGTGACTGCATGCAAATAAAAAAGGACATGGAATTACTTGAGATAGTTGCAGGTTAATCAAGTGATGTTCGATATCAATGTCCACGTTAACAATGTTCTTCTATGGTAATTTCATCCCAACTCTGTTCATAATTATTATCTCAAACATTTTGACAGCAGCTGTCCAACTTCGCGCTGCTTGCCATTAACTTCTTATTTGAGAAACCCTTCTTGTACTTCATATACTTCACCAATACTAATTCTTTAACACATGAGTAATGTCTGTGAGACAGACTAATTTTCTAATAATATAATATAGGCACAACTATGTAGCTTAATAACAAAGTTTTCAAGTATTGGTTTTGTAGGGATTTTGTTTGATTGGTTGGAGGATTTCATCGTGAGCTGACATCAGTTAGAGAACCATTGGAAAACCTGTGAGTATTGGACAGCTGTTTCCTCCGTCCTAGTTTGGGATTCCTCATCTGTCCAGTACTCCCAGGTTTACCAATGGTTCTCTAACTGTTGTCAGCTCACGATGAAATCCTCCAATCAATCAAACAGAATCCCTACAAAACCAATACTTGGAAATTGATCTGATGCTCACTAGCGACTGGCCCTATTCAGGCGGTTAACATGCGGTTCTAGTGGGAAGCCGTGACCAGTAGGGTACAGCAGGTTGAAGATGAGGCAGTAACTCATCGAAGAAGATATTGAGAAGTGGTCGCGCTATGTCGTGAATTGGCGGTAGTTGGAATTCATGAGCTGGCCATTGGATTGTGTCCCAGTGGCTTAATGGTATACGAGCTCGCTGGCCTTGTAACCAGAAGGTCCTGGGTTCGAACCCTGGCGGTGGGTGCGCACTGCTGAAGAGTCCCAGAGTAGGACGAGTGAAATAACTGTCGAGTACTCCCTGGTTTTATTATGGTTTTCTTGCTGATGTCACCTCATGATGAAATCCTCCAACTAATAACAAAGTCTCTGAAGACGAAAATTTCTTTAGAAAGAAAATTTTTCCAACTCAAGAATTTCAGTGTTACTGAATAAGTATACCACTGGTCTGGTAATGTAAGTGTAGGACTTGGGCACTGTGGTAGATTGTAATTCCATATTAGATAAGTTTACTTTAAATATCACACCGTGATACAGTATTAACAACGAGAGGACGTTTCTAGCATAAATTATTGCCACTCATTATCATATCATTTTTCGTCACACGGTTTCACAATTTGTCTTATCTATATTTTGCTCTCTATTCTGCCTCTTCAACTTTCCTTTGTTGTTTGTTGCCGCTTTCCACATCTCTGTTATGGGCGTTTCGTTATTCCGACTACACGTGTGCGGTGTTGGATCGATAAACAAAGCTTCAGTGATTAACCTCTCCCTCTCCACCTCACTATATAACTTTTTAATACTCTCACTCTGTTCCACCCTATTTTGTGATTACACGCAAGTGAATGCAGTTGACCCCGATCTACTAGTTTGACCTTTGTAATTGACTTCACAGTCATTACATGGTATTTGGTTTGGTAAGATGAAGCTCACTAGTTTGAGAATTGCATTGATTTAATTCTGCAATGCAACTTCAACCATAACTCTAAACTCATTCACTGAATATTTTTTATCCTTCTCACTTACAACTCCTAAATTCATTGTTTCCAGAATACTGCTTGCACTTAACACTCAAAGACAATTAAGAACTCCAGATATAAAAACAGTGACAAACAGCAGTTATTAATTACATCACTTTGCATATGCTTTTCAGATTATATATATATATATATATATATAGTGCTAATATTTGAAGTTGAACTCATTTATACCACAAATATATTCAGTGAAGTTCACATCTCATTTTGAAATGGTGCTTCATTGACAACAACTTGTGCTATTCTTTCATCAAAGGCAATAAATCAATCAATAATTTATCACGAACTAAACAAGTGCAGAAAACTTCATGAAGCAGAATACAATATATAATGGTGCACTGTAGCAAACTCACTTGACTGTTGGTGACGAAAATGGACAGGTTCCCGATTTTTCAGTTATTTTCCCAATGTCTTGAAGTTAACGATACGGTTTCAAACTTTAAGTAAGATACGATAGAAATAATTTTAAAATGCTAATTATAATGGCTTTATTCTGGATATTTTCTGAAATGTACAGAATTTTCAGCAGGATTTATTGCATGATACTTTCTCTTCATCCGGCGTCTTTAGGTAAAATAAAAATTGACAATAGATCGCGTGACATGATGCTGTCTGACCTGAAGTGCAAGCCAACCCATCTTATCTTTTTACTTCCTTGTCTCCTTCAAGGAATGCAGGACATTTAGTTGAAAGTCAACTGATATAAGTCCAGGTGTACATTCTGAGACCCAAGGACATGATTATAGACTGTAGGTAGTTAGTTTTATTTATCAGGCAGGGATAGTTTGCACTAAAAATCTCAAGAAGAGTTATCTCACGTGTGGGGATATGTTGCCAACCACGATTATGTTTTTCCTCAAGCTTAGCACAAAATTTCATAGTAGAAAAATGTAAGCATTTCAAACACTCTCACAATACCACTAAAGGTCAAATTTTAATAGATTAAAACAAAGAGAACAAGAGTAATTATATGCAATATAATGATGGAGGTTTTTGGTAGCCGAAATTTTAAGCAGGCCACCGGTGATCCCTATTAACCAATTTCTTAGAGCATAGTAATGTCGTGTAGCCAGAAATGATGAGCACCCAAAAGAAACACATCTCAGTTGTAGTGGACATTAGGGACTAACAATTTGGTATTGTACTGACACTTCCAACCGCTAAACAAAACATACCATTGGGATATGGCCTATTGGCTTAAGCATTCCGGTTTTAGTCAGTAGGTCTGGAGTTCGAGTACTGCTTGACATACTTCAGCTTGGGTAACTAACTGGATAATAACTTATAGACTGGAACGCGAAAGATATCTTCCAAAAACATTACAAACATACAAAACATTTACCTTGTTGCGGGAGCAATTCATCCGCAAACTGCAGTGTTTTTTCTTTCAGAATATACAGTTTGCTAGATATTAACCCAGTTAGCGGTATGCGCCAATCACAGTGAACAAGACAGATGACAGATGAATCACACATTCGAGTAACAATAACAATATTATTTTATTTCTTTACATTCCCAGTGGAAAATAGGGCTTCAAGCTACAGCTTTGAAGTTACGGTAGCAGTGGTGTCTACTTTTACGGGATGGGGTTGCTAGCCGCATGTCTAACTTTCCCACTTTACCAGTTTTGTTACCGCCTTAGCGAGGTGAAAGAGTGAGTCGGCCAGGAATCGAACCCCAAACCACATGAGGCGTGGTTGGCGAGCATTCTAACGCTGTGCCACCGACGCACACATCATGTGCAAAATCTCTTAGATTTTTACACACAGAAAAGCTATTTACGAGACAGTCATGCATTTATACATCAATTTATTTTTATCTCGGGGTAAGAAATTCACTTGTTAAACATAATATTTTGTACAAAATAATACAGCGTGAATAACTTGTTAAAATAGAGCAAATAAATTGAGAAGAGAAAATGTAGGCAAAACAGATTGTCAAATAACAACTGCACTGTAATGCCTGCCATTCACAAATGCACACAGACAAAAACACACCAAGGGAGAAAGAAGCAAAGAGAAAGGGGGGGGAAGAAAGCATCAGAAGCAAAAAAAGAGAAAGAAAGTCGTAGGAACAGAAAAGCAAATAAATCGAGATATTTATTTATTAATTTTTTTCTCTAGATTTATTATTTACACTCCGATATCGATAGGCAGAAAATCACAAAACACAACTGACTTTTTGCCTAATTTTACTTTCACAGCAGTAAAATGTGAAGACAACTAACTATGAGTAAATTTATGCAGATGAAATAATAATTTGTATGAGGAGTGTGGGGTGTATGACAAGGAAAAGAAAAGCAAGCAAGCAAGCAAGCAAGCAGACAAACAAACCGGGATGTGAATAATCAAAACAATAAATCCGCATATATAACAAATGAGAGAATAGTACAGAAGAGAGAGAGACAACTGGACAGTTTTCGTTATTCATTCAAAAAATGGGGTAGGAAGTAACTCACAGTGAGTAAAAAGAGATCATCAAAAGTACTAGAATAGTATAGCATCATGGAGAGTATAATTAAAATGAAAGGGCAAAAACAAAAACAAAAAAAAATTAAATAGGAGGCAGCTTAAAAAAAACAGTTGTCTTTTTCTTTTCAATACCATTTCAGTTTACAAATGAAATAAAATATACATTGAATGTATAATAATTTTTGTTTTCTAAAAAAAGAAGAGATTGCCTTGTGAATTATACATGATGATTGCAGTTGACTTCGATGCACAATGCATATTACATACATAACGTACAAAAGAAAACAAAATTCAATAATCTGAGATCGTGGTGTGTGTGTGTAAAAGCATAATTATTTGTACGAACTGATTTATAAAAAGAAGTGAATAATTTTTTCGGAGATAAAAACATTTTGTTTCTAAAATAACAAAATAAAACAAAACAGAAACGAATACTACTATTCGTCAAAAAATAAAGCTGGTGTCCAAAGTAAACAAATCAATCGATAAAACATTGATGATAATGAAACAGGATATATGATGAAAATACTTGTTAAAATCCAGGCGATTGAAGTACACACAACAGTTAACAATAGGCGTTGCTTGCTTATACGCACGCGTATACAACGGAGGAGTATAAGCAAATACACGCATAAATGCATCAAAATGCATTTATTTACACAGTTGAACAGAAAGATGACAGGAAAGAAAAATAATAATAATAATTATATCTTTGATCCATAGACATCAATAGTGTTGCCGAATTATTCGAGTCAAAGTATCCCTCAAATCATACACATAACAATCTTCTACTGGAGACTCCTTCTTAGGAAATGCCGAGAAAAGTTTTAGCTTTCGTCTGTATTGGCAAATTATTTCTCCTCTAATTACTTTAGTCAGAGAATTTCACATGTCAAGGAAGACATTTTACAAAAGTATACGAAACACAGAGTGTGTTAGGAAAAGAAAACGAGAAGACGAAAAAGTTGATTCAGGTGAAACGAAACGAAAATCTCCTCTACAAAAGGATGAAGAAGAAGAAGAAAGCAGAAAGAGAGGGATAGCAAAAAGGTATATTATTTAGCATGTGTACAGCATAAAAATGAAGAATGCACAGGAAGAGTTAGACGTCTACTCTTTGATTTAATATTTTTATGAGATAGGGCGCTTGAATCCATGCTACAATGACTGTTAGTAGTTTTAGATATCTGATTCTCTACAGTAATATGATCAGTTGTTTTCCCATCGTCTTGCCTATCCGATGAAATCTTTTCTTGTTTACATGCAACTGCACTTTCTTTGTCTGACAAATTGTCTCCAGTTGATTCTGATAACAGATTTGTCTTCCCACTTGGCATGCTGTCAACGGTAGCATTTTCCACTTCAAGTGATGACATAGCTTTGCTTTGTTTCATAGTGCTTTCTTGACTAGTCACTTCTGATTGACTTGATGGTGGACCAAGTGATCGGCGTTTACGTTTAAACAATCTATCGAAAATACTTCGATTACTGGAGGGAGGATTTTGTTGAATTGGTGGAGTATCAGGATTTAAATTATCTACTAAAGTCCCGTCTTCTTTGTGAAATTCATTCAAGTCATCAAAACAGCCTGTTTCTAGCATCTATAAAAGAAGAAAGTGAAACCATTAAAAGTTATTATTGTAAATCAAAGCTAAATTGTTAAATTTAGACTATCTTAAGACTGTCAGTGTGGGTAAATGGATCAAAGAATTAACCTTTAATCAGAAGGATCTGAGTCCAGCCCTTGCTCTCCTTAACTCAATCCAGGGGAGAGGATGGTATCATACACTTATACACATCAAACATGGCCAAGTACATAAGAATAAATTAAAGATGAGTAATTCAACTGAATTAATTAAACACCAATTACTACATTTCATAGGATTCAAATCAAAAGTAAACAGTTGCAAAGAGCGATGACACTCAGTATCTATCTATTATAAATAATTCTCAAGCAAAGACAGTGGTTTTTACCTCAACTACAATAATCACTAGGGTATTTCTTTTACTTGTGTGAACTCAATTACCCGGAACAGAGTGTTGATATATCAGGCTAAAAGCCACTATTTGCCATGTGGGGGCCGACTGACTGACTGACTGGTTTCAACATAGAACTTTGCACCGTTGTGCAGCAGTTCGAGTTGCCACACTTCACTCAACACAGAAAGCAAGAGAAGAAAGTAAAAAGAAATGCATAATAGAGACAGTAAACAGAGATATGAGGAAAAAAGAATGGTAATATCGAAGAATCATATAGTTTTATTGGGTATTATAAGTCACAATGGGTGGATGCATCTGCATCAGCCATTGAGAACGATTTTGAGCCATATCACCAATTGTCTCCAGCCATTGGTTTTTACCGTCCCGAGAACCCCAACCAGGAAGTCTACACCTTCCTACGTGGCTGGCTTAAACTAACTGTTGTGGATTTCACTGACTGATGAGGCCATGTTTTTGCTTAACCACCACCGGCTCTTTTCCAACCTGATCCATCCTGTGTCAGCTAACATTGCACGTCAGTCGAAGAAGGCGATGGCTAGGGATGCATGCGTAACACATGTCCTAACCATCTCAATCAGTGTAGCTTCACAACCTCGTCAATTGATTTCCCTTCCTTTCCTAGCACTCGATGCCTAACAGCAATACTACTTGCCCTGTCATACCACCTAACACGGGAGATAGAACGCAGGCATCTATGATAAAAGACAGTTAGCTGGCAATTTCATGTCTTCCACTTTCAATGGCTAAGTTTCACTCACAGTGATAAAGGAGGACGGAGCGGACTGCCGAGCAGTACACAAGCCCTTTGGTCGACAGCCAGTCGGATATCACGTCTACGCCAGAGACGGCGTAAACTGGCATATGCAGAACTACCCTTCTGTGGGGGCCAACAATACTACTCAATTCCCAAGGCTGATGTAGGTGAGGCGGGACTTGAATCCGTGACCTGTTAGCTGCAAACTGGGCTACTGAAACAATGAGTTACATCTTCACATCAGAAAAATTACAGAAGTCATACAAGACTTCTGTGATGTACCAAATGATGTTCCTTCACTATAGGTAGAAATACGGCGCTAACAATATTGGTGCAAAAAGAAGTCGAATTCAACCATCCCCTTTGCTTTCAAACGAATATGTTTGTTTTAAGAAAAAGGATACCAAAGAAACACAATCAAGTCTTTTGTATTATTTAAGGTTCAGTCATAGACAGGTAGGTTTTTTTATCTTAGTCCGCGTGACATTTATAATTCGAGTCCTTGAGAACAGGATAAAATAAAAATTTTGAATGTCATCACGACAGATTAAATTAAGAGAATGTTCGGCCAATATTATTCAAATTAATTACATTTATGTAGAATTGTAGTTTTATGAATTTATGAATTTTTTGCTTAAAATATCTAACAAAATAAAAACAAATTTGCTAAACATAGTGAGTGTTATTTAAGATATACTGAAAACTTAACAGGTGTGTATAAAATTACGCACAAAGCAGTAAGTGATCAGATGAATGATTTAACAAATGAATCACTATAAAAATGTTTACGGATATAAGAAACTACTGATATCATGTAAGATATACACAGAGTGAGGTAAAAACAATTAAGGGAGGCACAGTTGAACAACTTTATTTGTATTTCTCTGTCGCAGGCGAATAAGCACTGATAATAGCGGACTGTTTTTTTCACTTTAGATCAAATTCGCAATTTACACAGTTAGAGGTGAAATTTCTCCAAAGTTTCCTATGGAAAGTGAAGATATTCAGATCAAAATATATATGTAATCTACTTGATACCATTAATAGCAATCAAGAAAGCAAACATAAATGTGTCACGTGCTATAAACCACTGATTCACATTACCTCTTCCCTAAACGTGACAAACAGCTGTCCAATGTTTAGATCACATCAGCCAGGCTAAGAAATACTGGCTGGGTTGATTCAACATAGAACTTGGCACCGAAGTGCAGCAGTTCGAGTTGCCACGTCCCAAATAGCACACAAAGGTAGACAAGAAAATGAGTGAAGAGAATCAATAGAGTTTTGACAAGTATAAGAGTGAAACAGAATGAGTAATGATAAAAAGGAATATGAAAGATTACAGAGACTGAATACATCTGCGAGCCATTGACAACGATTTTGAGCCATGTCAAAGGTTAAGAAATACTACTGGTTGATGTGAGTGGTATCCAATTAATCGTGTCAACCGACCAGTAGTATATAGCGCCATGTATTTTTCGGCCTATAAATAGCTCTGAGTAGACAGATTAGTGGGGTATCAACAAAATTTTCTAACTCTCTAAAAAGCCGTTGCTACCATATCGTAACTACACTAGATGGTGTTTTGGAATCCTCTCGTATACAGCCTACGTCGAACGACTGATATGTTTAGCTTCACGCTAGAAACTAAGTCAATAAATAGCCTACTTCACATACACGAAAGTGGTAGAAGAAATTATATTCCTTCAATATTGATGATATTCTATAATACACAGTACATCATAGTGGCTGTCTTTAAAGCTTAACCTAAGAAATATGAAAGTATAACCATTTTACATTAAAAATGAATTTATCGACTGCTTCCTAAAAAATAAATTTTTCAGATTAACTCATTCATATACTACTACTTATCAGACAGAAAAAAAACACACACAAAAAGAAACATTTAGTCAAGGATGATAAGAAAGGCAGTAGACAGTCAGTGAATTTTCACGAATAAGTCTACTACTGCATTTCTATTCTCTATGATACTGAAAAACAGAGTAGAAATTTGAAAACTGGGTGTAAAGTGTAAAAATAAATACTTTATTAATATTTTATAAAATCTGAATAATAATAATAATACCCATGTGTACACGATTGCCTAGTGAGTTATATCCCTATTTATACAATGTAGTTTAGAGATCAATAAACTGAATCACAAAATGCATCAAACACATACAGAGACTAAGAGAGCAAGCATACATTTTATTCTCTCTTTTTGTTTTATTGTCACTTGGATATAAATTTGCTTGTGGACGTGATAAAATTGCAGAACACTCTGGACAATCAAAGCGATAATGATTATTATTATTATTATTGTATCTTTTAATTCCTACAGGAACATAGGGCTTCAGCCGTGCGTCTCCATTGCGTTCTGTTCTCTGCTAGAGTCTTCACCTGGCTCCAAGTCTGCCCACACATTTTCATCTCCTCTTCACATGACCTCCTCCAAGTCACCCTTGGACGACCAACTCGCCGCCTCCCATTCGGGTTCCACTCGAGCAATGGCTTGTCTAGTGATGTCACTTGATGGTTTCCTTAGAGTATGGCCAATCCATCTCCATTTCTTCCTGCCTATTTGTTTCACAATCGGTTCCTGGTTGGTTCGCTCCCAAAGATCACTCCTTGTTGCTGATCTTTCCTGGCCGGCCATCTGATCTTGAGTATTGAGCGAAGACAACTGTTAATGAAGATCTGTAGTTTGTTTGTGATGCCCTTTATGACGCGCAGTGCAAGTCTCTGATCCGTATAGTAGCACTGACTGACTTCACATTGGAGTTGAAAATCCGGATCTTATTTTTGATGCTGAGTGTTGTTGACCTCCACACAGACTTGAGAGTAGTGAAAGCTTGTCTTGCTTTCCCGATCCTTGCTTTGATATCCTCGTCAGTTCCGCCTGTAGTTGAAACGATGCTTCCCAGGTAGGTAAACGAGGTTGTTTCTTTCAGGTTCCTCCCATTTATGCTGATCGTTGTCTGTTGTTGCTGTTGGTGGTGTTGCCCAGGAATTTTCATCACCTCTGTCTTCTCTATGTTCACCTGAACTCCTTCCTATCTTTGATGCTTCTTCTGCCAACTTGTTGCTTTTCGTTTGCATGTCCTCCAGTTTGTGGGAAATCAGACATATATCATCGGCGAATTCCAGATCCTCCAAGTTTTTTGTGTGTGTCCATTTTATGCCTGTTTCCTCATTGCCCACTGTTTGTCGCATTATCCAGTCTACTGCAATCAAGAAGATCATTGGCGATAGTAGGCAGCCTTGTCTTACTCCTGTCCTCACTTCGAAGGGTTCTGTAAGTTTCCCGTTGTGGATTACTTGGCATGCACCATTGTCGTATAGCTGTTGGATGAGATGTATTATTGTCGGTGGCACGCCGTAGTAGCGAAGTAGTTTCCAAATCACCTCTCGATCGACGCTGTCAAAGGCCTTTTCAAAGTCGATGAAGTTGAGATAGAGAGGTGAATGCCACTCCAAGCTTTGTTCAATGATGATCCGTAATATGGCGATCTGATCAATGCATGACTTGTTTCTCCTGAATCCAACCTGTTCCGGTCGAAGTTTTTCATCCAGGTTGGCATGTTTGATTCTCTCCAGGATGATGCGACTTAGTATTTTGCTTGGGATGGACAGGAGCATAATTCCGCGCCAGTTCTTGCATTGACTTAGGTCTCCTTTCTTTGGTAGTTTGAATAAGTATCCTTTCTTCCAATCCTCGGGTACTTTGCCTTCTTTCCACACCTTCTTCTCGATAATGAAGATTAAAATAAATCTAACTAACATAGAAAACTATAGGCTTACTTGGCTTATTTCGTAAACTTTCTGTGCATATACATAACGAAGTGATAAGCTGAAAATTCTCACCTTACACAGTAACACCAACAACAAAAGATACACACACACAAAAAACCTTGAATCACAATTTTTCATTTTATGCCTTTATGTTGTATATGACAAAGAGAGAGAAGGAGACTTACTTCATTCTGCCACGGTATACTAACAGCTCCAGAACAGAAACGTTTATAAAATTCCATATCTTTGCTATCCAGTGTAACACCTTTAATTGTGGAGAATTGTTCAATGTCTAAAACATCTTTGGCGTAAACTGCATGTGGCTGAAAAAAAAATACAAATAACAAGAAATAGACTAGCAAAACAGTGATTAAAATCTGTCAAAGGTATAATTATAAGCTTAGTGTATGTATTACATTATTTCCTCCTGGTATGCCTGAAACAGAAGCAGCATTAGAGTTCCGTAAACGCAGAGTCTAACGGAGAATCGCTTGAGGACGGTCACGCACGGCCTGTTTGAGATATATCTACACAAAAATCTGACCACTGGCTGGAACCACCACAAGGTAACTCGGGATTACACCTTTTCTAATCTCCCTCTCCAGAACGGAGAAATAGCATAGCTGGTTTGTTAGTCACCTGAGGGAAACACTTTACTGCTATCAAATCGCCAGCGGTACGTCTTCGCCCACAGACTCCCGACACTTTGTAAATGATTTACATTATGAAAGTGACTGCTTTCAGTTTAACTTTTAGTTTAGCTATCCAAAAAGACTTTCTGACATGATAAGACCTACAGGTACATTAGTTCCGTCAGTGTAGCTCTTTGGGTCATTCAGATACGCAAACCTGACCATCACGTCGAGATAGTAGCTATCACTTATGATAAGCTAAGTAGAATCCTTGAATCAGCTGAGAGATAAGAAGACGAAACCACTCGTATTCATTTACTTTTTTTAATGATAGCTGAACACAAAAAAAGCAGAATTCAATGTGTCCAACGAGAAAATTATCAACAAAATTTCATCTGCGACCTGAAGTCTTTCAGATTTACATTTTACATATGCAGCTGATTACTGGTGGGTGTCTGAGGCATAGGTTTCATATTTTATTTTATTTTTTATTTTTGTTTACAGCTTGATGCCACACCGTATTTTCAGTACAAGTATGGAATTTTCAGCATGGATATCGGTAGCCCAAATTTTGCAGGCCGACCATTGATATCGGGTGTGAGTCGGCAGGGGATCGAACCCCAGACCATGTGCATGGTCGGCGAGAGTCCTAACCACTGTGCCACCGACGTACATCGACTGAGATGCTTAGGACATGTGTTACGTATGCCTAGTCATCGCCTTCCTCGACGGGAAATGTTAGCTGATATAGAGTCAGGCTGGAAAAGAGCTACCGGCGGTCAAACCAAAACATGGCAGCAGTCAGTGAAATCCACAACAGTTAGTTTAAGCCAGCCACTTAGGAAGGTGTAGACTTCCTGGTTGGGGTCCTCGAGACGGTAAAAACCAATGGCTGGAGACAATTGGTGATATGGCTCAAAATCGTTCTCAATGGCTAATGCAGATGCATCCACCCATTGTGACTTATAATACCCAATAAAACTATATGATTCTTCGATATTACCATTCTTTTTTCCTCATATCTCTGTTTACTGTCTCTATTATGCATTTCTTTTTACTTTCTTCTCTTGCTTTGTGTGCTACATGGAGTGTGGCGACTTGAACTGCCGCACATCGGTGCAAAGTTCTATGTCGAATACAGACAGACAGACATCTTTGTATTCGATTATAATTAACCGATGGCTGTGAAGTCTTCACCACTTTTGATCCTATTGGGTTTTATGCTGGCAGCCACTCAAGGGGTCCGGTGTTAATTCTGGACCGACGCATTCCTAAACCCCTACTGGACTGTAATAAGCCCGGAAAGTAGGGAAGATTGGGCCTGAGGCTAGTAATCCGGTCCAGCAGAAGAAACAATGCCACCGCAACTGAAACTTCCAGAGCTTGAGGTCTTATGAAAAAAGGGAAATTCTTAATGGAGAATTTCAAACTATGTCAAACAGAGAATTGAGAATAAGAATAATAAAGTACTCTGGTCAGGGTACACTAATCCGACTGATGGGATATGTCCAGTTCACAAAACAAGTAAGTATAGTGTCTAGCTGAAAATTCATCAAGATAACCAGAAAAAAAAGAGAAGCATATAGACAATGAAAATATATATATATGTTATTTCCAAAAGTTACAAAATAGAGGAGTCATCTGATATTATTATATTTTCTTCTTATGCAACACTATGAACTTACGAAGTATACGCGTATGTGATGGTTATTGCGTTATGACCCTGTATAACTAACTGCATAAGGCGAATAATGCACTTGATCGCTTAACAGATCATAAGATACTGTGTAGCGGTTCTATAGTTTGTTAAAGTATTCATATTATATTATCATTATGCTTATTTTGTCGAGTCATAAAATCTATTGACTGCTTTCGTCTATTAGAAATGACCTTTTAAATTTCCTAGGATAAGAAGTACGTAAACATACTAGACACACATATTATTATTATTTTTGTTTTAATGTATATTTTTGGCCAAGAAAGTTTGAATGAGGCAGAGAATTGTAAAGAATTCACTATATATATAATTTCAAGAATAAACAGATAGAGGCAGGCAGCGAGTTGGACAGGCAGTACAAATAAGGAAATATTTGTAAATAAGTCCATCAAATCTCTTTTTGAAAAACATATTTTGAGTATTGACTATAGGTGTAGTTTGTAAAGGGGAATGAGAATAAGATTATTTTAACTAAAGTGTGTGATAAATCAGTCAGTTAGAAGGATGAAGGAAGATAAGTATTTCATAATCATTTTTGTGTTCTACCTATTCTTCTTTATTGCTCCCCCCGCTTTAATCTTTCCTAAGCTACTTAAGAAAAACTTTGTTCCACTTTGCAAAGGGCACTAAAAGTTGTCAGTAGGGTGAGTGGGGTGTCGCTAAACCAACTAGTCAGTACTCTTGTGGATAGGCATTTAAAGTCATGCAAGAGATGGGCAAATATCGCCTTGGCAAACTTTGAGCACCCTCTCTCTATACACAACTCTCCCCAAGAATCCCATCTGGTAGGGTTATAAGCAATGATACCTTATTGGGCATGAGTTATATGTGACGATAAAAGTTTTAAGTGTGAAACTACTGACTTACTGTGAAACAGTGAGTAAACAGCTCCTTTTATTCTTTCTGTCATTAATAGATTGTTGCCACTATTTCTAATTAATTTTAATTTTACATTCATATTTTTATGGATATTAATATTAATCTAAATGCCCCGTTAGTTATTTTTCCCCCTGCTATGTAATGTGAAGAGAAAATTAGACGCAATACCGCACTAAGTACTGAGAATTCTACTTCTTATCAAATTTACCGTTTGGAATAAAGTCACTACTATTATTATCAATATCATTTTTTTTACTAATTTGAAAATTCCTCAAAGATTTACACTCTTAGGCATATGGATCTGCCCTTGATTTTTCTGATACATTCTGATCTATTGATATGATCTAGAATATCAAACAGCTCCATTATCATTACTGCTTTAGCTTACAACCGAAGTTAAACTGCCCTGATAGTGATAATAGCGCTGCTAAACACTGTTGGCCTCAAATTCTATTATTTTTGCTATTTATTAAAAAAACAAACTTGGCGCCACATAAAACTTCATAATTTGTACGCAGGCTGGGATACCGTCCGGACACCCAGACTGAAACTGGTTGTTGTCCTGAGGGACCATCTCTCTTGAGCATTTAATTTGAAGTCTGATCTACTAGATAGTGGGGCAGAGTCAGGAGTTACTTCCACATAGTTTCCGGTCACTAAACCCGGTTCATATGCCATTCAGTCCGTTTGGATTCAGGAGCCCATGTGTGCACACTGTAGGTTGGGAATCAGAGTTTTAAAGCTCTCATAGATAGACTAGTATGCTCACCAGGCCAATTGTAAGCGCCAAACGTTCGCATTCGCTCTTTCACTTTTATGAGGAACACCCCGTCACATGAAGTTAATGAGATATAGGCTGATTTAAATAAGGACGAGTTATTCTTTTCAGACAAGCGTGCAACGGTGGCTTCACATTTCCAACCTAGAGGAGGATGAACATGAGAAACGAGATCTCGAAGGACTTCTTGAATGCGAACTTGGACATCAAGTCATATTACGATCCTGAATTCCATGCTGAATGGTTGTGTCAGGACTCACTGCTGAAGAATCTCAAAATAAGAGCGAAGACAGATGTTTGGTGACGCATGATTATGTTGGCTCTTAATGAAAACTACTTTGGAATACGGCTTTCATATCCCATTTCAACCACTTAATAATGTAAAACGATATTTCTCAAAAATGTGTAGGTGATACGCTTAATCATTTTAGAATTAGTATCATATGAAATAATGCCTGAATAATTCTCATATTCACAGTATTTTTTAAAAAAAACCCGAAAGGAGTAATTCACTGAAGTAATCCAGTCAAATAATGCATGACTGTTGCTTTCAGTCACTGTGAGACTTAACATTCATTAACACCACATCGTAACTACGTTATAAGACTAGACAACTATAGAGTCGATCCGAAAGACTAAAATGCTGGAAACTGAAGTAATTTTATTCAACTAACTTGGAAAACACTTGCGTATTATTTCCTAGTGTGAAAAAACCCCTATCCTCATCAGTTCAACAATTAAATGAATAACTAACCGTTTATAACTGCTAAGACTCAGAGTCTGAGACTCAAAGGTCCCCAGTTGCTTACCAGAGCAATTGGCCGACGTCTAACCAAATCGCGTAACAGAGTAGATAGTCCGAGAGCGTTTACTGTTATCAGTAATCAAAGCAATCTAACTCTGCTTCGATTTTCTGAGGCTAATACTAGCAGGTGACTCAAACTTAACCTGTTTATGGGGACAGAAACTGTGGTAAGTCTTAGTTTGGTCTGACAGCAGCTTTTTTCCATATATTATATAATTGTGTGTTCTGTTCTATATTACCATTCTTATTATTATTTGACCCGTTCATCTGAAATCACTTCTAAATGTTTTCTTGTATATTATTACGTAGTCTTCTTCCTGTACATTGCTGGTTAATTAGTGTTTTGTTGCATGTCATTTGTCAAAAATTCTCAAATTTTCTTCAAAACTTATGATGGCGCTGCGATAAGAAATCAGCTATCGTGGCGTCAGTTTCTCTTTAAATCGCTGTTGGTCATCTAAAACCTTTTTGATTTCTAAGAAAAACTTTAGGTTGACTTATTAGATAAGGAA